GTAAAGCTTAGGTTGGGCCTAAGTTGGTAAACTTGGGCTTAACTTTGGGTTGTTAAAATCGGGCATGAGTTAGTAAATTATTAGTAATTATTGACATTCTATTTTTATTATATATTAGTAAATTATCAATAATTATTGAAAATTACTAGTAATTTTTCACTTACCAACCTAGCCCTAACTTGAGCTTTAATCTGACATCTTGGGTTGGGCTTAGGATTGGACGTGCTAAGATTTGTAGCCCAATTTCTAGGTAGACCTATTCATGGGCCAGGCTCAGGCTTGGCTTTTGTCAAAATTATAATGGGCCCAGCCTGAAGCCTGAGCCTAAGATAGTGTAAAGTTGGGCCTGAAGCTCAGCCCATGAACATGTCTATTTCTAGGTACAATATATTGATAATATATAAATATGTATACCACAAAATGTTGGGTGGGTTCAAATTGATCGAATCGGGTTTAGGCTACCYGTAGCCTCAACCTAAGATCAACTTGAATTTAGGTTAGACTTAGTTTTTTGGCCGAAGCCCAGCTTGAAGTTTGAAAACTCAAGCCCAACCTATGCAAAATCTTTAGTTGAGTTGGCTCAGGCTTGGGTTAGGCCTGTATAAGCTACACCTTTAACTCCTTTTGCTACAAGTTATTTTAACAAAGCCCATGCATTGCATGGTCCCCACTAGTATTAAATATTTTGTTATACAATTATTTAGAAATTTTTAATATTTTGTTATTTAAAATATTTATTTATTGAAATATTTAAATAATTTTTTATTTTCATATTTTAATTTATATTATTTAAATCATATTTAAATATTYTTTATTTATATTTAGAAATTATTATTTAGTTATTAAATTGAATAATCTATAAAACTGTAATTTATATTGTTATTACATAATTTCATTTTGAATTTCATAAAAATATAAAATTATTAATAATATGAATATTATTAAATATATTATAATTATATTTTTGTATTTTTAATAAATACTTTAATGTCATTACATAATTTCATTATAATATTTAAATAATTGTCAAATTTTTTAATTGAAACTTTCTTTAGATAGATATAGATGAAAAGTGGGGGAGAGGATAAAAAGGAATTAGAGATAATTTAGAAGATAAATGGGAATTAGAGGAAGTTAGAGATGATTGAGGAGAAAGTGGGGGATAATTAGTTTCCTAATAAAAAAGAGAGGAAAAAGGGAGTTAAATAATGCTGAGGTGGCAACTCCATGGGATTCTAAAGGCAATTTTGAACCCCCTCTAGAATTGCTCGGTTGGGGTAATAGAGCAAGGAGAGGCCATATGATGTGGCATGTTTTACTGTAGTATATAATAGTCGGGACCCGTGCGACGCACGAGTTTTGTTAAAATAACTTGTGGCAAAAGGTGTTAAAGGTGTAGCTTGGATAGGCCTTACCCAGGCCTTACCCAACTCAACTAAAGATTTTGCATAGGTTGGGCTTGAGTTTTCAAACTTCAATTCAAGCTGGACTTAAGCCAAAAAACTTAAGTCTAACCTAAAATCAAGTTGATCTTAGGTTGAGGCTACAAGTAGCTTGAGCCCGATTCAATCAATTTGAGCTCGCCCAACATTTTGTGATATACATATTTACATATTATCAATATATTCTACCTAGAAATTGAGTTACAAAGCTCAACACATCCAATCCTAAGCCCAACCCAAGATTCGGATTAAAGCTAAGTTAGAGCTAGGCTGGTAAGGGAAAAATTGCTCGTAATTTTCAATAATTATTGATAATTTACTAATATATAATAAAAATGGAATAACAATAATTATTGATATTTTACTAACCCATGCCCAAATTTACCAACTTTGGCCCAACCTGAGCTTTACTTAACATCTTGGGCTAGACTTGGTCTTGGGCATATTAAGGTATATAACCCAGTCTATCATAAAATATTGGCATGAGCTCAAATGGTTTGGATTGAACTTGAACTACCGAGACCTCAACCCAAGCCCAACCTAAGTTTAGGTTAGCCTTGAGGTTTTTGGCCTAAACCGAGGTTATAGTTCGAAAACTCAAGGCCAACTTGTGCAAAAGCTTTGGTTGAGCTAGGGGTGAGCATTATTCGGTTAAAACTAAAACGAAAATTTCGTTTTCGGTTTTTTGGTTTGGTTATTTCGGTTTTTAGAAATTTGGGTTTTCGGTTTTGGTTTTTAGAATTAAAAATTCAGTTAGCCAAAAAAATTGAATTAACCAAAATTCATTATATAATATGTAACATATAATATATAGTATGCTATATATTTATATATTAATATATTATATATATACTATATCATAATGAAATTCAGTTTCATAATATTATATATATATATATATATATACTATATGTTATAATATACATTATTTTATGTATGTTAATGAAATCTGGTTTTAACTGAAATAACTGAAAACCAAAATGAACTTGTAATTTGATTTTGGTTTGTTTTTTATTGTTTTATTTTGGTTTATTTGGTTCAGTTTTTAATTGAATAAACTGAATGCTCACTCCTAGGTTGAGCTGGGTTAGGCTTGAGTTGGGCCCACCCAACCCAAGCTACACCCCTAGCTCCTTTTGCTTCAAATTCTTTCAACAAAACTCGTGCTTCACATGGGTTCCCATTAGAAATTAATAGCATTAATTTTAATTTATGGTTATTAACAATAAATTTCTAAAAACAGTAATAATTTATGGTATTTTTTAGTTATTCGCAAAAATAGTATAATTATTTTAAATTTTTAAAATTAATATTAAAAAATTATGAATAAATTTATAATTGTCATTAATAATTCTTAATTATGAATTAATAAATTCTATAATTCTTATTTTATAAAAATATTACTATTATTTAATACTAATATTTTATAATGTTATTAATTAATAAAACTAATATTATGAATGATTAAAAAGTAATAAAATAACTAATTGAATTATTAATGTAAATAATTATTAATTATTAATTGTAATCTTAATAAAATAGTTAATTATTATTGGTTATTAATTAATTTGTTTGTAATGTGTCACTAACACTAATTATTAAAAGTAGTAATATATTTTGGTATTAAACTTTCGTAATCTTCAATTAATGATGAATATATAAAAAATATATTTTTAATTGAATCTTGGGAGTTTTTAATTAATCCCAATAGAGCAGTGAAAACCAAACCATACCCAATTGAGTAGTGGAGAGAGAGAGAGAAGTGGGGAAGTGGGGACTAATTAGGAGTATTAAAAAAGGTTAGTTATGAGAACTATTTACAGAATGAGGAGAGGTTTTAAGAATTAGGAGATGAGTTCCTTAGTTTATTAGAAAGTTGGGYAGAAAGGGAGAAGAGAGAGTAAGAGTGGGGAAATGAGAGTTTTAAGGACAATAAATTAGGAGTGTGGAAAGATTTTAGGAGAGAGAGAGGATAAAGAGAGATTTTAGGAAGGCTTTTAATAATAAAAATTTAAAGATTGATGATTTGGCAGTTTGGGAGTGGTGGGAGAGAGAATTAAAGAGAGAGCAGTACAGGGGGTTTGGAGCAAGGAGCCAAGCTGAATATTAGATTATTTGAACTTGTCTTTGGMCGAAAGCATAAGGCTCCAGCTTGATTCAAGGTAAAAATATTAGCTCGAATTTGGATTGAATAAAAAGCTTATATGTTTGAGCTTGGCTTGGCTTGTGCTTGATAGTGAGCCTAGTGAGCAAGCTTAGTTGCGTTTGAATTTGAACTCAAATTCAATACTTGCCTTGTTTGTTTTAGATTTAAAAACCACAAAAAAAAAACATCGTTTTCATCAATATAAGAATAATAATGATGTAATTATTTAACATTTAAAATCATAAAATATACAAAAAATGATTTGTTAAACCCAACTCTATATATATATATATATTCTTTTGAACTTGGATTGATTAACAATCAAGCCTATATATTGGACTCAAGTTCAGCTTGAAGCTCGATTTAAGCCAAATTGAGTTTTTCATGAGCAGAGCTCGAATGGCTCATGAACAACTTGCTTTGGATCCACCCTTAATTTCAATCAAAAATTTTGTCCATTTTATGGAGAAAAAAAAATTTCTTTAGCTCAGCTTTAGTTAATATATAGCTTTTTCAAATCAAAAGAAAAAAGTTGATTCTTTTATAATTGGATAAAATATGGACCCACCCCCATCTGATCCAATATAATCCAATTTGATTTGATATAAATATATATATATATATACTCACATTCAAAATTAATGTTGTATCCAATAGTAAAGTTGGTTTGAATGTCAAAGTTTTTACTAAATTGTGATAGGTTCAAGTTTCATACAAGTAATTTTTAATTTATTTTGTTCATGAAATACAATCTCAAAGTCACTTTTGATTCATTTTGTCAATAATAAGTAATATTATGAGCATTTGTAGTTTGATTTATTTGTATTATACAACGCCCAATTCAATCCAATCTGTTTATAGCCTAAATTAAGTTATTCTTACCTATAAAAAAAGACAAAATCCATAGTGCATTCATTACATTGTACAACAAAAAATGTGACTGGTTGAATATAACAGTAGATACACATTGTTAAACATGAAAGTACACTGTGAAATATAAATTAATGAAAAGCAAGCAGATTTTAACCTGATCGTTGAGATCTAGATAACATATGATCAATATTAGTGAGTGTGCAGTAGTTGAACTCAAAAAACAAAAAATAAAAAAAAATCTAATTTTTTTGATAAGCAAAAAGAATCTTAGTTATTCCTTACTGATTAAATAGTAAATAGATATTCATATTTAATACACTTTCATTAAAAAAATTTTGAAGTAAAAAAGTTCGGTATGCCAAAGTTATACTCTTTTAGTGACTAAACCCTTGTTTTGTTCAATTAATTAGCAGAAATACCCAAAAAAGATCATTTCATAATTAATTCAATGAACTCGTAGAGATACCCAAATATTGCTAAGAAAGAACAAAAAAAAAAAAAGCAAAAACAATAACAATGCAAATTTGCCATCGGTAAGAGAACTATTTTGTTTTATGTAGCAGGCACAAATGTACAAGGGAACAATTGCTCTCAAAAAATAATGAATTTACATTTATGTTCTTTTCTTTTAAAACACAATCCAAGAACTAATCATCAATGTTAATGCAAGCACCACGATCCACCATTTTCGAGTGAGTGATTTTAAGCTATTTGATCCACTGCAGATAAGCTTATTATTGTGATAGGTGCACACAGTTTGCTTCCTGCAAATGACAGCAAGAAGAAAAAAAAATTACAGAAGGATGTTCAATATAGAAGTTCATGGAATAATCTCATAGGGATACACCTTGGGTGAGATGGGCTTTGTTTAATGTCAATACAGGCCCAACCCAGAGACTTGGGTGAGATTGGCTTTGACACAATCAGGCTGGGCTCGAGTCCTGGACCGGCTCAAGAAGGTTTTAGTTCAACTGAATAAAAAGAATGCCTTAAATCAATTTAAGATCAATAACTGAAATATAAAATAATGGAAAATTATATTTTTATATTTTTATATTTGTATATTTATATATTACTGGGCGGGTTTGGACTGAACTAGGGTTGGGCTAGGCTGAGACTTTTGAAAAATAAAAATCCTATAATTTTAGGCCCAGGCCCAGAGACCCAGAAACAGTCCGAGGGTTGAAAATCCAACCTCTGGCCCTTGTAGAAATACAGATTGGGTCGGTCTGGGCTCAGAATGAGCCCGCCCAAATTGCACCCGTACAAACTCAGCAAAGCAACTTCTGGATTTGGTTTGGTTCATTCAAAAACCAGACCATCCGGGCAAAAAATACCAGCCGGTTTGGGCAAACTGGCTTAAATGAACCATTTTAAACCTACTCACTGACCTTGATGAACAGAAGGAGATGATGTAGTCTGGCCCAGAGCATGTAAAAATGCTGGTCGGATCATCATATGCATAACTATATGCTGCAGGACATACTTCCTTGAACTTCTTGGAGTAGAATGTAGGTTTACATACCGCTGGGTTACCGTAGACACCCCGGCAACAGTACTCGTCGGTGTCAAATACATCACATGCACTCCGGCAGGCGATGATCTTCCCACCATATTTAACAGAAAGTTCAGCTGGACAATTGGGCCTCAAATCACCGTCACAACCAGCAACAGAACAGTTACCGTGACCGTTCACCGGTGTAACTACTAATGGCAGGTTGAACCCATCGACGAGGCTAACATCGTAAAAATCGAGCGCTGCAAGTGTGAACTCGGCCAGTGAGGCCGGGGTTTGTCCTGAGGCCTTGCATTTGAGGGAGTTGCCGCATCTAGCAGTTTGGCAGTTTCCATTGCCATTTTTGTCAAAATTGCAACCGGTTCGACCCCATATCCGACCAACCCAACCAACCGGGGCAGTGAAGACCATTGACTGGCCCGGCTTTAATGCAAAACCGCCTCCATTAAAGTTCTCACCAGGTGTGATGCCGGGCCAAATTGTTTCTTTGCAGTAGTTTACTATGGTGAAAACTCTTGCTGATTCAGATAATTGTACTCCTACCCACCAAAATAAAATTGAATTAAGGTATTATCAAGTTGAGCACAAAAGTTGAGTTTGTTCTTGAATCCAAGAAGAAGATATTTCTGATATCTTGAATAATTAAATTAAAATAAAACCCATTCAAATCTGGCCATCTCCATGAGTTATCTAGATTAATTAATGCAAGAACTAAAGTAAAATAAACCAGAAAGGAGGAAAAACAAAGAGAGAATTAGTGGAATAATTAAGTTACCTGATATAGTCATAATTAAGAMTAACAAGACTGTGAGTAGTTCACTGAGATGTGGAGCCATTATCTCCTCTCTGATTGGCTGCCCTTGTTTGAAGGTTGAAAATTGAGGCATATGAGAGTGAGGGAGAATGGGTCTGTGGAAGATGTAATAGAAAAAAAAAGAAAGAAGAATACGTGTAGAGGAAATTGAACCAAAGATCTTTCCCTCCAAAAAGGCTTCCTTGCTTGTGTTAACAGACGATTCCTTCCCTAACCATTTCCACCAGCTTTCTTCTTCCTCTCTTCCCTAAATGGATCAATTTGATGCTTCCACAGACAAATCAAGCAACTCGTCATAGAGGTGGATCCCAAGGTTCAAGTATTGACACGTATCGATCGGTATCGGTCTATACATATCATTCTAGGACCCCTCCGATATGCCCCTACAGTGGGTGTATCGGAGGTCTGACCGGTTCAGGGGATAGAGGAGACCTAAACCGTTCCCCCTGAACCGGTTGCAAAAAAATAAAAAAAAAGGCATGAAAAACTGTATCAATTTGCCCAATACGCCCACACCGACATATTAGGCGTATCGATATTTTGAACCTTGGATGGACCAATAAGAATCTGATTTGCTTTCACATGCTAATCTGCTTGCTATTTTTTTTTTTTTTTTGTCACTACTAAGGCCCRTGGTTGACTCTCAGGATCTGTTTTAATATTTTTGTTGTTCTCAAGCAATGAAGAATCTTGTAATTTTTGGCTCCATGACTCTACTTTCTGTGAATTCCTAATCCATTGGCTGACTAATTAATATTGACAGATCGAAAAGGATGATTATTTGCCTGCACCCTTTATGCCAATATGATTGTTTTGAACCATAAAGTAGAAATAAATAACCAGATTAGAAGGCGATTTAGCTTTATTCGTGATGATTTCATTTCTATAATATGAATCATTAAGGATTATCAGGTCAAGGGGATCATTAAACTGCATTTGGTTGCAGTGCAAATTTTATTTGCACTAGTGTAAATGCATGGGGTGCGAAAGGGCTGAGTATAAATTATGGTTTACTTTTGTTTTAAATTTCACTTTATCTTATTTATTTGTGAGAAGTAAAATAGAAAGCAAAATGAAGTAACCTATATAGGTATTCCGACCTTTTCTTTCAATCCAAGCACAACCTAAATGAAAAAGAATGGAGGTAAGAGGAGGTTATCTGTTAAGGAGTAAAGTAGAATTCAAGATGATGTAGTCCTCATTTATATGAGAAAAAATTGATATAGGATGAAAGTGGTGCAAATTTTGCTTCATTTTTTGGGATACAAAATTTTCACTGTTAATGAGTTCAAAAGAGACATAAAGTACAAATTTTATTTCATCAGGTAGAATGCAAATCATAATTATAAATAAACGAAAGCAAAACCGAATCCGATACAAATGTTGCACTGCAACCAAAGGCAGCCTTAGAGACAATTTAGGGCTTGCAATTGGTATCAGATTATCTGAATTCAAATTCAAATTGAAAATCAGAGCATATCTAGCACGAAGAGAGCATGGTATATACTTGAAACCATACCAAATTAATAAGCTTGCTATAAGCATTACAATTCTTCTAGCATAATTTTGATCTAGGGATGATCATGAGTTGGGCCGGGCCAGCCAGGCCCAGGATGGGTTTTTACAGGCTATTAACAGCCACCAGGCTAACTTGTATAAATTAATAAATTATATTTTTGGGTTATCAAAAAAATTATATTTTTGAAAAAAAAAA